GATCAGAATTCTTAACAGGATTGTGGAATGGACCAAGGAAGGATTGAGGTATGAGGCAGATCAAAGGCATGCAGAGATAATTGTGAAAGAGCTTGAGCTAGAAGGAGTAAAGGTGAGGACTGAAGTGCCAGGTGAGCGAATTCCAGTTGAAGAGGGAGATGAGGAAGAACTTTCGCCCAACATGACTAAAAGATATCAAGCGTTGACGGCCAGAGCAAATTACTTAGCTCAGGACAGGTCTGACATACAGTATTCGGTAAAGGAACTCGCTAGGACCATGTCAAAGCCCACGATGAGTTCTTGGAAAGGTTTAGTCCAGTTAGGAAAGTATTTGAAGTACCACAGCAGAAGCAGCTATGTGTATCAATATCAGGAGCAGCCCCAAGAATTAACTATTTGGACTGACACGGATTACGCAGGATGTAAGCGAACGAGGAAGTCTACGAGTGGGGGAGTAGTGATGTGGGGTAAACATCTCATAAAGTCTTGGAGCACGACTCAGAGTGTAATCGCGTTATCGTCAGGTGAAGCAGAGTATTATGGACTGGTGAAAGGAGGATCAGTGGGTTTAGGACTTCAGGCAGTATTGAGAGACTTTAACTTGGAAGTTGAGATTACAGTGAAGAGCGACGCCGCAGCTGCGATTGCCATCGCGAGCAGACGAGGCTTGGGGAAAGTAAGACATATCGAGGTATGTCAATTGTGGTTACAGCAGAAAGTTAAGGAGGGAGTGATTCGTATTGTGAAAGCAGGGACACACGAGAATGCAGCAGATGCGTTGACCAAGTATGTCAGTCGTGAAAGCATGAGCACACATCTACGAAACACGAATCAATGTGCATTAACAGGCAGGCATGAGCTTGCACCAGCTACCGAATGTTGATGTACCGAATGTTGATGTTCGCAGCTCATTTCTATCAAGCAAACTGCAGCTATTAAAGGCCTTCTCCACCCGTTACCTCTTACTCTTGGGCGTGAACGAAGGCATGGCGGCTCCCCAGGTCAACCTCACCATCAACGGTTCCATGGTCGACCAGAGCCCGGCTGGGGATGGACCGGTTACGCGTGAGAACCTCAACCGCCGTGTTGACGACATGGTGCACGTTGCTCACGCGTTTACCGTAACCCTCACTAACATGGCGATTAACTTCCACGGAGCCTACGACAAACACGTTGACGAGGTGCAAAGGGCCGCGGATGACATGGCGAAGAGGATCGAGGAGTTAACGCGGCAGAACGAGGCGCTGATCCAGGACAGTGACGACGTCAACGAGAATCTCCAAAAGGCGCAGGCGGAGATTAACGCTCTGATGGCGACGATTACGGACCTGAACATTCAGAATCGCGACTCGGGAGTTAACACGGAGGAGAATGCAACCAAGTATAGGCGCATCAACGACAACATTGGTTACCTCCTGAACACCGCCAAGCGCCTTGCCGATAACATCACGCCCCTGCAGGACTTCGAGGGTAAACGTGATGCGGCACTACGCCTGTTGGTGGCAGTAACAGAGAGGCTGGAAGGATTACAGAGGTTCTTGCATGACCCGATCAACTCCCTGGTTACCAACATCCCGCAGGTTCCTCCGCCGTTACCCGAGCAGCCCCCAACGGCAGTGGCCGCCAAGGCACCTCCCACTGCAGTCAACGCGGCGGCCGGGGCCAGCCAGCCTCTAGCCCGAGCTGCCGCAGCATCGGGTGCACCCCCGGCTCAGAGCTTTACCGGCACCACGCCCAAGACCGGAGGGTTCGGTCGATCCGTGTCGCCGAATAAGATCCCGCAGTCAACGTCACCTCGACCTGTTTACAAGAAGGCACCCAAGGCCATGCATGAGCGTAAGCGGGACTTGGAAGAGTTACTGCAGCTGGGAATGAAGATGGATGAAGATCGTGCACAGGGCAGTCAACGTGACGAAGTATCAAAAGGCCCTGCCCCGGTAGTGAACGTGAGGGCGCCCAAGCCGCCTCCTCCAGGCCTTGGTGAGTCAGGTGCATCGAGCAGTGTTAGCGGCATGAATCCCCCGCCTCCGGTGCCCAAGAAGTTATCGACCCAGTATGTTCCTCCACCGCAGCCTCAAGCCGTTAACCGTACGGACGAGCAGCTTGCGGCATACTCGCGGAACATTGCCAGGGGCATGTACCGCCCACTGTACCATGTCAACGGCCGCATGCCCATGGTGAACGACAGGAGCGAGGACCACGACGTCAACTACAAGGTGGAGCCCGACCCCAGGGAGGTAGTCGCGTTAACGATGAAGACACGCGACAACTGGCGCAGGTTCGAAGGCAACTTCGTCGGACATGTGGCAAAAGAGGGGTTAACGACTCCAGGTGGTCGATCTATTCCGGGCAACGCGGGGCGGGAACTTAACGACTACGATGAGGTGTTCGTCGACATTTACGGGCAGCGCGCCTACGGCTTCCTTGGTTACTCCGTGTTGAAGGGCCCAAGCAGCTGGAGGTCTCAGTTGACGGAGAAGGAGCTGGAAAAGCACGACGAGTGGGTTGACGCGGTCGGGCACGTACAATCCCTGTTCGACGACGAGTACGTGCCGCCGATCCACGTTAACGATCTCCACCCAGTGTGGTTCGACGTTCACAGCTGCCCAGACACACAGGTCTACGTCAACAAGGCACCAGAAATGAACGAGAAACAGCTTAACGGCCTTCTGCTAACGTGGGCCGGGATGCTGCCCCACGGCAACCCCACCGTGGTCTCCGTTAAGCACCTGGTGGAAGACACTTACGGACCGCACGGCTACATCTCAACTGGGGTTACCGTGATCAGGTTTGCGACGCACGACCTTGCCGAGCTCTATTGCCGTTGCATGAACGGGCTCCAGGTGTATTACCGCAACTACTTCATCGAGGATCTCGAGGTCAGGAGCGCCGAGGAGTTAAAGGGCAGCATCAACAAGCCTCCAGTTTACTGGCACCAGACCATCCTGGACGTCGCTCTTAACGATCAGGGGTCCATGAGGGCACTCTACCGTGACAACTGGCCTGCCGATCACATCACCGAGCGTAAAAGTGACCACCGCGAGAAGCTCTGTTGGTTTGGGTGGTTGCCGTGCGACGACTTTGCCAACTGGCTTACCGACCCGGCCTGGACTGTGAACCCGTTTACCGGAGTTGCGGTCGAGGAGCACCTCCGCAACAATCCAGGTGGTAAACCTCTGCTGAAGGCTCCCCACGCCAGTTACTGGAGGGCCATCGGTACCGGTACTTACCACAACATTGTTGACGGGTCCACCAAGAGCTTTGACAAGGGGTGCTGGCTGGACGACGAGGAGCGCATTAACGCGTACCTGGACACCGACTATTACAGCCCGACGCAGGCCCTTAACAGGGTGTCGTCCTATACGGCGGCCAGCGTGGGGCACCGTGGTTTACCGAAGTCCAGGGGCGCGCGTGCTCCGTCAGTGAGGCGCCCGCGCCGCTCGTAAACGGTGACGGGTGACCGGCATGTCTTTCTTTTACGCTCGCTCTCATCTCCCCTCTCAACCAGGCTTAACAATAGCGTTGCAGTAGACCATTGAGCTGAATCTATTTGCATGTGCATCTTTTATAGTTACCGCAGGTATTGGCGCATAAAAAGCGAAAGCAATCAAAACCATATAAATGCTAGCCTGCCGTGTGAACTTTGGATGCTGCGTTTAAACTCGTAACTGATTGAATGTTTACTTGAGCTCACGTTGCATGTCTGAGAGACGTGGTGCTCGTGAACGTTGTTACGAGATATTTCGAATTCGGTGGTGTAACGATATTCATGCAGCCTGTCGCTTGATTTAACCTGTCTTTGTGTTTACAAGCACCTCCCCGTCAGCCAATGCGGACTGGCGTCCGAGGGGGGGTGTTAACATGCAAGCATGCGTGTGACAGGGGAGGAATAGTAACCCTGCTGCCTTTGGCTCAAGTGTTTAACGGTCGAAGCTACATCGACCCGCTTTGCCGTTCGGGAGTATAAAGGTGACCTATCGTTATCATTGTCGCCAAGCTCCCGTGCAGAACCCTCCTCGGGGTTTTGCAGGAAGACCAGTGTAAGCCAAAGAGTCATCAACGATGTTGGAATTAACCCTCCTTCCAAGCTCCCTCCCATTTCCATTGAGGGAACTGCCTCCTTGGAAGACACCCTCGAAGACCCTGAAGCATGGCAAAACATAATTGTCGGGATTTCAACGCCACGGGTCAACCTGACTGCTGCGTCTTGACGATCTGGAATGGTGCCAGAACGCCATTTCTTGGGATTTCAACACCGCGAATCCATATAACTGTTACACCCGCATAATCCTGAATCTTTCCCAAACACCATTTCTGGTACGCTGACCATGGGAACCCGTGAAACTCTTTCAAGTTTTATGAACGAATGTGCGCGGCGCTGAGGCTAGTGCCACACTTTGAAAAGGAACCGCTCTCAATCCGTGAAATTCTTGCAATTTTTTAAAGCGAGTGTGCGCGGCGCTAAGGCGAGAGCCACATTTTGAAAAAGAAGCCGCCCTCAATCCGTGAAACTCTTGCAATTTTTTAAAGCGAGTGTGCGCGGCGTTAAGGCGAGAGTCACATGTTGAAAACGACCCGCCCTCAATCCCTGAAACTGTTGTCACTTTCTAAGCTTCAGAGTCGTAAATGGTAAAGAAGTCTCAGGCGAAACGCCCGGTCCGCCCTAAAAACTGGTTTCAAGGTGCGACAGGGAGAGGTTATTTATTAGGAAAAGGACTGGAGGAGGAGGAGGAGGAGGAGGAGGAGGAGGAGGAGGAGGAATGCGGGGCGATGCGTATTTCAAACGAGGGCCCAAGACCACATGATGGCTGGAGAGCGTCAGCGCCCTGGGAAGGGATGGGGGGGGGGGGGCAGGACGTCCGACATGACCCGAGCGCACCTGGCTTGCCCGCCCCGCCCTCTCCCCGTCCCCGCCTCTTTCGCCGTCCGTGCCGCCCCCCCCTCCCCCACCACCACCTCCGTCCTCGGCCTCCCGCCGCCGTTGCCTTCCCCCCCCCCAGGCCATCCTCGCCCGCGGCGCCGCCTCGGCGAGGCTGGAGCCCGAGCGGGACATGTTCGTCCCGGGCCGGGCGGCCGGGATGAAGCCTGGGCCTCGCTCCCCTCCCTCGAGGAGGAGGAGGAGGAGGAGGAGGAGGAGGAGGAGGAGGAGGAGGAGGAGGAGGAGGAGGAGGAGGAGGAGGAGACTCATCAACGATATTGGAAGCAGCCCTCCCTCTGGGTTCCCTCTTCATAGGCCCCTACAGGGATTCGTTTTTTTCACAAATGGAAGTGCGCCGGTGGAAGACAACTGTTTGAACATCCGAACTGTGCCAGAACACCATTCCTGGGATTTCAACACCGCGAATCACCGTTACTGTTGCGTCTTGGCGATCTTGAACCGTACCAGAAAGCCATTCCTGGGATTTCAACACCGCGAATCAACATGACTGTTGCGGCCTGACATTCCGACATCGTGCCAAAACACCGTTTTTGCGACGTTAACCATGAACATCCTTGAGCCTGTTGCAAAATCTGAAGACGAATGTGCGCGGCGCTGAGGCGAGAGCCACGTTTCGAAAAGGAACCGCCCTCCATGCGTGAAGCTCCTCGCAGTTTTCGCAAGACGAAAGTGCACGGCGCTACGGCGAGAGCCGCATTTTGAAAGCGGGCCGCCCTCTGTCCGCGAAACCCTTGCAACTTTTTAAAAGGAATGTGCGCGGCGCCAAGGCGAGGGCCACATTCTGAGAGCGGGCCGTCCTCCACCGGTGAAACTCTTGCAAATCTCAAGCTTCAGGATCATACACGGTGAGGGAGCCTCTGGCGAAACGCCCGGCCCGCTCTCTCGACCGGCCTCGGGGCGCGACAGGGAGAGGCTACTTATGAGGAGGAGGGATGGAGGAGGAGGAGGAGGAGGAGGAGGAGGAGGAGGAGGAGGAGGAGGAGGAGGAGGAGGAGGAGGAGGAGTCCAGTGGCCTTCCACCAAAGTGGCATCTCTGACCATGCCCCGGTGATGTCGAACCTTACGGTGGGAGCCAGAGAGCCCGAGCAGGAGCAGTCGCCTTCTCTCTGCCAGTCGCCGACCTCTTATCACTGTCTCTCGCTGTCCCCGACGACGACGACGACGACTGTCTGGCCCGCGCGTCGACTGCTTTTCCTCAGGGCCTTCGGGCCCGCAGCAGCTAAGGCACAGGCATCTTGCTGCTGTTGCAGCCTCTGGATCGATATTGGGCCTGCTTGGGGCCAATCTTGGAGGCGATCGATACACGACGGGGGGCGCTGGCCCCCCAGGGAGGCCAAGCTTGGGCCAAGACCGCAGGAAGATCAGTGGCCTTTGCCTTCTCGCGGACGCCTTCTTGAACGCTTTGGGTCCCGCTCGCGGCTCGGCGTCGAGGCGCCGTCGTCATCGTCTCTGCCAGTCGCCTCCCTCCTGTTGCAGTTCTCCCCGCGTTCCTCCCTTCCTCCCATCGCTGAGGGGCGAGCGTGCAGAAGACTGCTGCTGGAAGCGGCCAGCATGGCCCGGAACTCCTTCGTCCGGTCCAGGCTCCAGCCCTCGAGCCTCGTTTGTTGATCCTCAGGGCAGCTTCCAGAGCGGTCAGCCGGAATGGTTTCGCGCTGGCTGCTCGCCTGCTCGCCTCTGCTCCCGAGGGCACGGTCGTTCTGAGGTCGTCGGTCGAGATTCGTCGCGAGGGCGATACCCTTCAGCAGCAGCTGTCCGAGCAGAGGAGAGGCTGGAGTCAGCGGGGTCGGCGGTGAAGCAGTCACCAGTTTTTCAAGAAAGGCGTCGCCTCAAAGCCTGCATGCAGGCTGAGCGCAGGCGTGGCAAGCTTTGGGCCCCCCCGAGCAGAGTCCTTCCTCTGCAGGCCTTCGTTAATCCTGAGGGTGGCCTTGTCTCGGATCCCAGGGAGATGGCGCAAACCCTGCGTCAGCGCTGGGCCCCTCCCTGTCTTCTCCTGGAAGAGTTCTCCGATCCTTCGTGTGAGGAGGTATCTAGCGAAGCACGCTACCTGCTTTGACTGGTCGGATGCCTCACCTCCAACTGCAGCTCAGACCAGGGAAGCGATCAGGGAAGAGAAGCCCACATCGCCTGGACTGGGCTGCTTGACCTGGGAAGAGAGATGACGACAGCAGCAGCGTCGTCAGAGAGCCAGCGACGACACGAGCCCTTGCCGAAAAACAACACAGACGTTCAAGTGCTCGCGTCTGCTTGTATCCTCACGCTGAAACACGTTGCAAGCCCGCAGACTCAGGCAGACCAGACGTTTCTTTTGGTAGTAGGACGCAACTTTCTGAACAATATTATGTTGGCGGGTTTGACAGCCAAAGTAGTGAGGATGCCTGAGCAGGCTCGCGAGCGTCACCCTCTTTTTCTCCTCTTCGACTTTGGCAGCGCCTTTCTCAGCCTCTGTCACCTCTTCCTTAGGGATGTACGCCAAACATCTGGCCTGCTAGCAGGTTTCAAACCTTTCCTCAAAGTCACGTACACGTTCGCCCATGCCCGGGTGCCCATCCTGGGACTAATGTTCGAGTTCTGCGTTGTCCCAGCTTGGGTTATGCAGGGTGACCCGTTCAGTGGAACGGCATGGTCTATAGCGATGGATTTTTTTGGTATGACCTCGGGGGGCGCCTCACCAGGTTTGCAGGTTCGGAGCTGGGTGTTTGTGCGGACGACATGGGCATGGCTCTTTCGGAAAAAAAAGGCGCTCCCTAAGGTGCAAGGTGTTTTTTTTACGCGGCTGAAGCCCTCGGGGGTCTCAAGCTGACGATGCCAGAGTGCTGCGGAGCTCCCCTCGGAGGGTGAATTCGCATCGGAGCTGAAGCTGCTTTGCGCCGCGCCTGATAGCCAGAGGTGAAGTTTTCTCTCCCCCCTCGCAAGCGCGGCAGAGTACGTTGGGGTGTTGATCGGCCCAGCTGCGAAGAACCGAGTGTGGGATCGGGTGTTTCGGGAGCGGGTGGGGTGGTGGGGAGCATCGCGAAGCAGCAGGCCGCCCCCTCTGGCGATCCAGCTCTAGAGTTCGAGAGCAGCGTTCACGTTTTCCTACCTTCGGCCCCCTCCCGCTCACGTCAAGTGCTGCGCTGGGAGTCTTGGGTTCTCCATGAAGTTCTCCGCTTGCCTCCGTTCACCCTTCCTCTTTCCCAGCTCTTTGACAGGGAGGATGTCGCGACAATTTTTGGAAGTATGTGGATTAGAGATAGAAGTTTTACCTTCCAGTGGCAGCGTCAAGTACTTCGGGCGAGAGCTCACTTTTGAAGATCCGGATGACGCTGAACTAGACAATCGTACTTCTGCTGACTGGAAGAAGCTCATGGTGTACAGGGACGAGCTCACTAAAACGGATTACTCCCTGCACGATCGGTTGAAGCATTTCGACACTGTGGTGAAGCCGACGGTACTCGACGGAACAGCAAATTGGGCAATCACCAGTCCAATGCAAGGGAAATTATTACGCTGCCAAAGACGGATGCTGCGCATGATCTTGGGGAAGGGAAGGAGGCGAGCTCGCACAGACGATCTGTTGAGCGACATTGTCGATCCATGGGTGGATTTGGTCAAACGATTCACGAGAGAAGCATCATCAAGTATGGTCGAATGACACATTGATTCGTAGATCGTTGCGCAACGAACTATGAAATACGCATGCGAGCAGCGGATACAGCAGCCGTTCCCGAGTACGTGCTAAGATCTACTGCAAGACCGGAGCCGCAACGCGCATCGAGGTGTCAAGAAAGACCCAGGCGTCGTGGGTCAGATGAGGTTCGACGTTTCCTCGAGTCAAGAAGTGACCGCGCACGGTACAGTTTGGAAGGATACTGGAAAGCATTTGAATCTGATTCCGCGCAGAGGAGCGACATGTGAAGGCTGCGGCTCACGCGCCTTGCCCTGTGCGGGTCGGCCTCTTTGGCCGCACACGGCGCGCCTCTCGCCTTCTCGCCCTCTCTCTTGTGCCCTTCCCCTCTTGGGCTAAGGTCCGCCTATTCGCACTTCCGGTGCAAGGGGCTGCGGCCTTCTGGAGATCTGCGAAGCAGACCGTTGCGAACTGGCGAGCCCTGTGGCGGCGGCAACAGGCCAACGCCAAGCGCTTCTTCCCACTCGTGCCCTGGACGAGTGGCGCCCCGTCCCTGCCAGTTTGGTCTCGAGGGTCCCTCGCCCAGGAGCTCAGCGCAGCCCGTGGGGGCTCCCCCAGCGCCGGATGTGCTGCGAGCGCGTGCTGGTGTTGCGGCCCGAACTTTCGCAGAGGCGCACCGCGAGAGCTCTCAGGTCCAGGTCCAGCGTGCTTTCGGGCGGGCCCTCAGGACCGAGCTCTTTTGAGGATACTCTTGAGGTCGCGTGTGTACGAGGATCTCGTCTGGGGCGGCCTGCCCGCTGTCTGCCCAGGCGCTCCGAGGGATCTCGTGGCGGAGCTGCAAATCGCGCCTCCTCTGAGTGCTTCGCCCTCCTGGCAGATGCCCGTGCCCAATCTCTTGGGTGGGGGGTGGGCGACGGCGAGAAGAATGACAGCACATGGACCGCCAGTGTGTGTGTTTCGGCCGCGTGGCGGAGGAGGCAAAGGATAGCCAGGCTCACTGGGCGTCGTGCCCAGTGCAGTGGCCAGCGGTGCTCGGTGTCTGGTGTCCCGATCCCGGCACATGCCACGCCGTCTCGACAGCATTTTTCCCTGACGGAGATAGAGACTTAACATGTCAACGCGTGGCCATTACTTCCAACATGTGCAATGTACACTGTGACTCATCTCGTGCGCCTCTGGATGTTTCTGCGTGTGCTCGTGCCGCTCGGGCAATGCTGCTACGGCAGGCTGAGATGTGTGATTAAGTGACTACGATGCGCATGCGTGCGATGACGACGATGATGGATGGTGGCGCTGACGACGACGATGATGATATGATGATGATGGTGATGATGATGATGATGATGATGATGATGATGATGATGATGATGATGATGATTATGATGATGATGATGATGATGATGATGACGATGAGGATGACGATGAGGATGTAGATGACGATGATGATGAGATGATGAGGACGAGGATGAGGATCAGGATGAGGATGGAGATGATGCTGATGATGCTGATGATGATAATGATGGTAA